AAGTTTTTTCTTCAGTAACTTTTGTAAGGAACACCCCAGGGTGCCACAGGCCTAGAGTGTAGAGGGGAGAAAATGCAAAGAAATTGGTTTTGAAAGAATTTGAGCCAACTTCTCATGCTTCTGAATTGGATCTTCTGGACCTTCACAAGCTCCCTTTCTCATATACCGTTTTCAAGTGTTGATAGATTGCTGCTGCACACACCCAACCTTATGTTTGGGTAGGTTTAATGCCTCTCAGGCTGTGATGAGAAACCCAGACCACATGGTCATCTGATGTCTCTACCAAGACTCTGTGCAAGCTAGATGTTGTTTCTCAAAAGAAAAATAGTTATCTTCAGAAGATGAAATAGTTTTCTCCCAAAATCCTACAAGTCCTGTCTGATTCTTTTACTGGGGCTTGTCAGTGATGTCATTCGACATCCCTATTGCCATAAATACGATTATTATTGGATCGTAAGTACCCAGTGGTAGTACATCTTGTACTGCAGCCTGAATTTGCTTCAGTAACTCCTGTTGCTCTGGTTCTCACCCAAAACTGGCAGCTCTAGGGGTGCCTGGATACATGGATTGAAGTAGCACACTCAGATATGTCTGTATGCCCTCTAAAATCCATGAAAGCCTAGCAAGTGTTAGGCCCTTTTTTATCATGGTAGGTAACAAAAGGTACACTGATCTGCCTTTTACCTTGAAGAATATGTATTAACATACTTCAGATTAATAATTTCCCTAGAAACTTCACTGAAGTGGCAGGACCCTGAGTTTTTGTAGAATTTATTTTCCACCCTCTAATTCACATATATCTAAAAACTATCTTTACATGTTTTTTGTTCGTTTTTTCTGTTTGGTTTCTTGATTTCTGGAGCTCTTTACAAATAAGAGAGATGAGCCCTTGGGTTGCAATATGAGTTGCAAATATTGACAGTTTTTCATTCGTATTTCAATTTTGCTTATGGTCCTTTTCACCTTGCAGAATTTATTTTTATGTCATTGGCATAGTTGGTTGATCACACTTCTCTTTAATGACTTCTAGATTTTGAATTATAATTAGAAAAGCCTTCTTCACTTCCCCGAAGTGATTGTGATTTAATATACAGCTAAGGCTGAGAAGCCCTATATTAGGAGAAGCAATTATAAATTCAAGGAACAGACTAGAATTGCCACTGTGGAATGTCTTCTGGTGGTAAAGAGTGATGTGATGAAGTTGGACACAGTGAATCCGTAATGAATTTGAGTCAGTGTGATTCATATGTTCTGCTGCAGGTTGGTGGCAGCAATTGAAGAAAGCAACTAGTACAGATTATTCAGGCCTAAAAATTTTTATAATAGAGTAGACGCCATTCATTTATTTGTCTGTTTACTCATCAAATGCCAGAGGCCTGCTAATCAACAAACCAACAGTGTTGTCCAGTGGTGTGTTGGTGAATATTTAACAGTCGGCCCTTGGTAGGGTTTAACAATTAGTGTATAGTGTTTGTTGATTTCTGGTTTCTATAGAGTGACTATTCCCATCGCTGTTCATTATTGCAAGCCACCAATGTAATGGCGCTGAATGTGAAGTTGGAAAGAGATATGACAGTCAGCTTTCATTGGCAGACACCAGCCAGCTGTAACACATGCTGGTAGTTGCCTCAGTCTTCACCCTCTTCCACATTTGTATAGTATTGAAATTCCTACATCATTGACTGTAGTGATATTTTACTCTTTGGATTTCTTTACTTCTATCCACTAAGTTTCCTTAATGTGAAATTTTCTTTCTTCTTTCTCTTGCATTTGTCTTCATTTTCTTTGTTTGCAATTTGCTCATTTCTCCTGGCTTTACTATCACGTCTGTGCTAAAGATGTGCAAATATCCACGTCCATCCTCCTGTTGGGCAGCACTATTGGAATGCCCTATTGATAGTGCAAACTCAGCATGTTCAAAGCCACCCTCTTAACTCTAAATTTTCTCTTCCTGATTTACCTACTTTTTCTCCCAGTGTCCCAGGATTAAAATCTTGAAGTGATATTTGACTCTCCTTCTAGTCCATTCTCCCACATCTAGTTGGAAGTCTTTTTATTTTCCTTTGATATTTCTCAAGTCTGTTCTTTTATTCCTGTGGCTATCACCAAAGCCTGTACTATTCTGTAGCTTCTTTTTATTGTGGGTAATACACATAACATAAACTTGCCATTTAAGCCACTTTGGACTGCGTACAATTCATTGACATTTAGTGCATTCACAATGTTGTGTAACCATCACTACTATATAGTTCCAGAATATTTTCATGGCTCCAAAAGGAAACCGCATTCCTAATGACCAATCGTTTCCCATTCCTTCCCCCACCCTGAACCCCTAGCAAGCACTAATCTGCTTTTTGTCTCTATGAATTTGCCTCCTTTGTGTATTTCACATAAATGTAATCATACAACGTAAAGTCTTTAGTGTCTGGCTTCTTTTGCTTAATATATTTTCAAGATTTATACGTGCCATAAGAATGTATCAGCACTTCACTCCTTTCCATGGCTGAATAATACTCCTTTGTATTTGTATACTACATTTTGGTTTTCAATTTTTTTTCAGTTTGGACATTTGGGTTGTTTGCTCTTTTGGCTATTGTGAGTAGTGCTGCCATGCACAATAATGTTCAAGATTTTGATTGTACAATTGTTTTCAGGTTTTTTTTGGATACATGGATGCACCATTTATATTCTAATAATGTATTGAGTTCCAGTTTCCCCACATCTTTCCCAACACTTGTTATGTTCCATTTTTTTGGTAGCTATCCTGGTGGATACATTGTGGTTTTAGTTTGCATTTCTCCAGTGGCTAAGGATGTTGAGCATCTTTTCATGTGTTTGTAGGATATTTGTATATCTTCTTTGGAGACATGCCTATTCATTTCTTTTGCTCATTTTTTGATTAGGTGATTCATCTTTTTATTGTCTTACCAGTCTTTTAATCCAGCTTCCCTCCATTCTTTGTACCTTTAAGTTTTGGGTTTTCTCTCAGCTGTCAGAATGTATTTTTATTATGTTCTTCTACCCTAAACTGTCAACAGCTCTCCACTACTCTACAGATAACTCCATAACCTCCATAGTATTTTTTTCAGCCTCCTTTACCAGCTTTGTCTCTTACTGTTCCTACACACTTGCCTTGAGCTCAACCCAACTATTACCTGAACTTAATTTCTTTTCTACCCTAGAGTCTTAGGGTAGAAACATTCTAGCCTCCACCAAAAATGTTTCTTTTTTTTCTTGAGACAGAGTCTCACTTTTTCACCCTCGGTAGAGTGCCATTGCTTCAGCTTACAGCAACCTCAAACTCTTGGGCTCAAGTGATCCTCTTGTCTTAGCCTCTCGAGTAGCTGGGACCACAATGCCTGGCTATTTTTTAGAGTTGGGTTTAGCACTTGCTCAAGCTGGTCTCAAATCTGTGAGCTCCAGCAATCCACCCGCCTCGGCCTCCCAGAGTGCTAGGATTACAGGCATGAGCCACCACACTCAGCCAGAAATGTTCTCAATACCTGTATCCATTTATCAAAAAATTTAACCCTGGGATTGTCAATATTAATTTGTCTAGACCCTCCTTATACACTTTCTATTTCCAGATTATTCTGAAGCAAACTCAAGACTCCATATTACTTTATCTTAAATATTCTGGTATCTCTAAAAGATAACCATTATTTAAAAATAACCACAATACCATTATCATATCTAAATAATAATTACTTAATACCATCAAATATCCAATGTTCAAATGTCCCCAACTATCTTGAGAAGCTTTATTTTGTTTTGCATTTATAGCTTGCTTGAATCAGTGTTCAAATAAAGTCTAGATATTGCCATTGGTTGGTACTGATCTTAAGTCTCTTAATGCATAAGCTTTTTCTCATTTTTCTTGCAATTTATATGTTAAAGAAACCAAGTTGTCTTCTAAGTTTCCAAGTTCTAGATTTTGCTGATTATATCCCTATAGTATAAATGAACATGTTCTTCTAGCCTCTGTTTCCTACAGATTAATGGTTAGGAGGCTAACAGGTTTGATTGTTTTCTTAGCAAAACTACCTCTTGGGTGGTAGTATATACTTTAAATAGGAGGCCACAGTCTTATCTGGCTCTTCAGAGAATGTTACCAGTCACTCAAGGTCATTGCTAGATCCTTTAATTTATGAGGGGTTGAAAAAAGGTGATGGTCTAATTCTATCACTCTTCCTTCATTTGTAAGATACATAATATTATGTGTATATATACTTTTATAAAGAGAAATTTTCCTTCATCAACCCAAAGCAGAAGAAATTGCCTGGTTCTTTCTGTTTATCAGTTTTCAAACTAAGAAGTTGGTTTGCTAGCATCCTGTAAGTTGACCAATGAATTTTATTTTAATATATAATAAATTTACGCATTTCAACATATTTGTGTTTCAAACCATTGTAGTTTTTAATCTTTATTAATGCTTAAATTATCATCTTTGCCCCTGGGAACCAATTCAAATTGGACCTTAGATCTTTGTGAATTGACTTGCATAGCTGCTTTGTTTTCCAGTATGATAAACTGTTACATGCTCATATTGTACATTTCCTGACCCACAGCTGGGATCGAATATTTCTTCAAGGATTCTTAGTTCTTTTTAGTAGGAAATAGTATGTGGAGATCACAATCTGGGTATGAATGTTTTGATCATTGTTTCTAGGCTTTTCCAAAAAACAAAACTAGGAGATTTTATTGTTGTTTTGTAGCTTTCTCTCAGATACAGTGCTTTATGTCTGATACTCTCTACCAATGATAAGCAATTTGAGGCCAGAATTCATGTCTTTTTACTCTTTGTTAAATAAAGATAAAATTCAAAATGCTGCTCTATTTCCTGACCCATGAATGTCACTTTCTTTTTGCACTCCTCAAAATAGAAAACCATACTACACATGTACTAAAAACTAAAATATGATTCTTAAATGAATTAATCCAAAATTAGTTATACTCAATTTTTCAGATATAAAGTATAATTTTAGTGCCAAGTACGGATATTAAGGTTATTGGAAATAAGTTTTATTTAACAGATATAAAAACAATTCTGAACATTTACAACTTGTACAAAGACTGGTAGCTTTTATGTTTCTTAAAATACTGTACTAAGAGAATAGGAACAATGGAAGACCATGACATTGCAAATTACAGCTTCAGAGAATGTGAATATGATGAAAGTATTCTCATCAACTAAAAATTCCTGAAACCACTTTTGGTTGAAGTACAATGAATACTAGATTTTAAGACAGTGTGAAATCACACTTTGGTCTGTAAACATGATTAGCTTTTTCATTCAGATGTATACATAAAAATTATTACATATGTCATTTAAATGAACCATTCAAAGGTATAATAAAAAAGAGGTAGGAAACGAAAAGGAAAGGGAAAAAAAAAAAGAAAAGGATTTATTTTGGTAGTTCTTCAATAATGATGCGAGATACTGAATTCCAGCCGGTGGAAGCATCTCCTTTTGGGTAATCTGAACAAGTACCAACCCAGATAGCAACATCCACTAATCCAGCACCAATTCCTTCACAAAGTCCTTCCACTGCAAAATAAAGATGAAAGGTACATCTTTCTCTGGAACACAGATCAAAACTTTTTGCTACATTTTATTACTTTAGAAAGCTAGATTATAATTCTAAATAATTATTAGATTAACAATTTTAATATTTGATAATTCTATATAAAGTTTTTTATAAGTTGGTAAAAAATATTTTAAAAACATGTATACATATCCATTCTGTAATATAAACAGTTTTCTTACAAGTTTCAAACATAAAACCAGAATTAATTTCATTATAGAGATAGCTTAAAACAAAAAAGCAATTTAATGGATTAAACAAAGCAAGCCTTTACATACCTTTAAAAGCCAAGAGTTCAATTTGATATGCAAGTCTTTTTTGAAAAAAAATTCCTTTCCAACACTTATCTATTGATAAGTAATGCACTTAGAACATTAAAAGAAAATTTGGCATAAGCATTATATTAATCCTTCAATCTGGGAATCCCATTTTATATAGAATTTCCTCATAGTGAAAAAAAAACAAAAAACAATCCCCCACCCCCGCTTTTCCTGTGTATTCTTAATGTTTTTTTTTTTTTTTTGAGACAGAGCCTCAAGTTGTCCCCCTGGGTAGAGTGCCATGGCCTCACTGCTCACAGCAATCTCCAACTCCTGGGTTCAAGCGAGTCTCCTGCCTCAGCCTCCCAAGCAGCTGGGACCACAGGCGCCCGCCACAACGCCCGGCCATTTTTTGGTTGCAGCCATCATTGTTGTTTGGCGGGCCCGGGCTGGATTTGAACCCGCCACCTTAGGTGTATGTGGCTGGCGCCCTAGCCACCTGAGCCACAGGCGCCGAGCCTGTGTATTCTTAATGTTTTATAATTACATACCTTTTCACAAGTCCTCTGGATTTTTACATACTAACATGTAACTTGTTTTCTGTCTTATTAAGGTGGATTACATTTCCTTCAGTGTTTCTTTTTAAACAGGCAAAAGACAGTATCTTTGATGTATGAGGTCAGACAATTAAGTTTGCAAACTCATTCTAGAAAAAGTGCTATACAGCTCATTGCTGAATATCACTATGGTCACCAGATGACCAAGGGGATTACTTCAAAGGTGACCATAGTGAAGATATTAAGCCGTGAGCTATGAAGCATTTTTTCTAGCATGAGTTGGAAAAGTAATTGTCTGACCCTGTATGTGTAAAGTGGGAAAAGGAATCGTAGTTTGGCAGATACTTTAAGAAAATGAATCCTGACATATAAGGAGTGTAGTGGGTGACCTCATGTGACTGGTTAGGTTTCCTATTTGGATGAGGTTAGTGCATTCCAGCTGAGCCCCAGGGATGTAGATCTGAAGCAATCTGCTTCCATTAGCTATCGCATCAGTAAATCTAGGGCAAGTCCCTCAGAATGCAGGGACCTGGCTCTGCTTCAGGCCCCTTCCAAAGTTGGGAGAACTAAGCAGAGGGCCCACAATCTATTTAATCTGATATTCTTAGTATCACGCCAAGTGAAAATGCCCAGAAATATTCTTGCTTTCCCAAGGTGTTGACGTTCATGGCCTAGAAATTTGTTCACTTCATCCACAACCTCAGGATGGCATACAAGCTTGGGTCTAGCATCACTTTCATATGAGGAGAGCTATTTTATTGTCTTTAACAAATAAAATAATGGTTGTTAATTGAATGGACTTAAATTTTTTGCTGTGATAATGTATGACTGCAGAAGTGTAAAAAATATGTTGGATTAGGATTCTTAGGCGTTCTCAATCTGTTTTCCTCCAAGGGCCATGTAACAGATGACATTCAAAAGTTCATCACACTCCCCCTGGGCATATTCAGGGTTTTAAGGGATCCTCTGATGTGTAGCCTAGGAGTACATCCCTTTCCTTTCCCTCAGGAAGAGTACGGGCATGCAGGAGAAAGTGGTTTTAATGTAGAGGTAAGCTTTAACTCACAATGATACAGAAACTGTTACTAATAACAAACTACTTGTGACACTCCACCCAAACGATTACACCAAATGAGTTTCCATATCATGCTTGGGAAATCCTGTGCCTTGGGGCTTACATTATAGCAAGATAACTATCACATACCTTCAAGATAATGTGATAGAATATGAGTTGCTTTCATCAACTACAGTCTAAGCAATACCACTTATTAACCAAAGTTTATATTTTATAACTAGATTCTTCTTATTTTAGAGCTAGCACTTCTTCTTCAGCACATGTATCTTAGGACTTAGTGAAGAGGCTCTTTAATCTGATTAAAAAGAGGGCTGAGGAGGCAGGAAGAAAACAGGGCCTTGGTTTCTGCTCTCCTGAACACTGATTCTACTGTCCAGTTTAAGATGCCATATTTCCCTGGGTTTCTTAATATGCAAAGAAAGGATTAAAATACCTTCTTTACATGAAATATTTCGAGGATATTGTGGGGATTTGAGGGAAAATGTGGAAGGGGTACCTTTGATTTCTTAGGAATAAATATACTCAATTAATTTGTGGATTCAATATCTGACTTAGCCCTCCCCGCCACACGCCAGATGCTAAAATATTTTTTCTTTTGGTTAGCAGTGGAGGGTTCTCTTCCCTTCCTTCAACCACTTTTAAGTACAAGATTAGTGAGAAAATCCTTCAAGAAATCAGAGAAAGGAAACTAGCAATATGTATACTTTCTGATTCTACCAGGCTTGTGCTATCCTCGTGTGCTACCCCTACAGCAACTCAAGAAGCCAGAAGGCTGATAGTCCAAGGCCAAATATTGATAATGTCTCAGAGTAAAGAGATTGGTAGATGGTTTTTTACACTTCTACATTTGGTAGTTTCTAAACTTTCTTTAATAAACCTTAAAATAGAACAAACAAACCAATAATATTCTGACAACATGAGTTCCCAATGGTGTAACTGAATATCTTTTCTCTCATGCTTGGTAGAAACCAAGGATGCAGAAACAATATAGAAATTTTCTGTTTTACAGATTCAGCAGACAGTATCTATCCTCTTAAAGGAGAAGGCAGAGAAAAGAGTCAGTCTCCTTACCAATCTAAGCTAATGGTTTTCAACCTTGGCTGAATGTTAGAACAACCAGGAGAATAGAAGTGGTGAAAGTGGGCATCACTGTCTTGCATTAGTTCTTAGAGGAAAGTGCTTGTGATAAAAACTAAAACTAGTACTACCATTCCATCCAGCAATCCCATTACTGGGTCTCTACCACAGGAAAAGAAATCTATATCAGAAAGACACATCCAGGCAAATGTTTATTACAGCACTATTCACAATACCCAAGATAGGGAATCAACCTACATGTCCATCAATGATGAATGGATAAAGAATATGTGTGAGGGGGGTGTATGTGCACACACGCCTGCTGCAACATTTAGCTGTGAAAAAGAATAAACTTATGTCTTTTGCAGCAATATGGATGAAACCAGAGGACATTATCATAATGAAACAAACCAGGCACAGAAAGTGAAATACTGTGTGTTCTTATTCATAAGTAGATGCCAAAAAATGTGTACAAATGTATGGAGAGAGTGGAATGATAGTCAAGGGAGATTTGGAAGGGTATAGGAGTAGGAAGGGGGTGGATGATGAGAAATTAGTTAATGGATACAATGTATGTTATTTGGCTAATGTATATCCCAAAGGCCTTAACTTGACCATTATACAAATTATATGTAAAAAAAGTACATATTCCCTATAAATTTGTATAAATAAAAAAAAAAAAGAATAACCAGGAGATAGTTTTAAAATTCCCCTTGCCTAGGCTGTACCCAGATCCATTAAATCTGACTCCCTGGGAGGGGTGGTATCCAGGCACAGGCATTTTTAAAAGTTCCCAAAGTTATGCCAGTGAGTACAATTATGTAGCCAAGACTGAAAACCCTTGCTTTGTGGCATTACTGGCTATTTTGCCATTTCATCTACTTCATTGATTTTTCAACCCTGGGCACATGAGAGTCATCAGAGGATCTTTTAAAAAATACAGATGGGCTCAGTGCCTGTAGCTCAAGCAGCTAAGGCGCCAACCACATACACCAGAGCTGGGGGTTTGAATCCAGCCCAGGCCTGCCAGAGAACAATGACAACTGCAACCAAAAAATAGCCGGGCATTGTGGCAAGTGCCTGTAGTCCCAGCTTCTTGGGAGGCTGAGGCAAGAGAATTGCTTAAGCCCAGGAGTTGGAGGTAGCTGTGAATTGCGATGCCACAGTACTCTACCCAGGCCAACAGCTTGAGGGTCTGTCTCAAAAAAAATAAAAAATACAGATGCTGGGGTCTTACCGCAAGGGATTCTGAGTCAGTTGGCTAGAGATAGGGCCCAGGTATCCAAATATTTTTTAAAAGATCTATAGGTAATGGAGTGTGCAATTCAGGGTGGAGAATCAAGCACTGAAAACTCACTAGAGGTCATTTTATATCAGGCCAATAATACAACATGATAGTGGGACTCGAAACTAATCTTATTTAGATCTGAGGTACATTCAGCAATGCCACTATTTTACATACCAGAAGAAGTGCGATGAATATTAATTGTTGAGTTCAGTTCAGGGCTTCCTTGGTCCAAATAAATTATGGCTTCAATGGGAAGAGGTCCCGAACATTCTGCTCCATTGAATGTGAAATACCAACGCTGACAGCATGCATTTCTGCATTTTAGCCGAAGTGAGCCGCTGAACAAAACTCTTAGAGCACTGTTGGAACGCATCTTTGTAAATGTACATTCCTGCCACAAACACGGAAATAGGGTTGAATTAAATACTTTCTATTTTAATTAAAAAGAAGCTTTGAGTTTATATTGTAAATTTTATTTAACTATTCTTTTCCCCAAATTGAATTTTAGAAGCTTAACTTTGAGAGAAGGAAAAAGATTTTCTGCAAGATAGATAAGAAATTTTGAAATAATAATTCTAAGAAAATCAAATTATGGCTTTCTTATTTGTCCCATTGAGAATGTGTCAAAGTTTTTGTCCCATTGAGAGTATCTTAAAGGTTTACAAAAAAAAAAAGGGCGGGGGAAATAAAACTAGTCTTCAGTACTTTTGACCAAACCAATCTATATATTTCCTTTTTTTCATTCAAAAAAATATTTAATGGCCCCCACTATGTGCAAGATGGTACAGATGCAGTGGTTAACAAAACAGAATCCCTGCCCTTGTGGAACTTGCGTTGTAGACTAGTGCTGTCCATACACATCTACTGTTGACCTGTTTCTTCTTCAGCAATAGCAAACAGGATGAGAGAGTGAAGCATATGTGACAGATTGATAAGGCCCAAGTTTCTTGTGTGTGTTTTTCATAACTAGTCTTTGCAAAATATAATGTTGCCTTATGGTCCTACTATCTGTTACTTGCAGAAGTTTCCCATACTCACTTTGACCATTGTTAAAAGGAACTTGAAAACATATTAATAATCAAAAATCTTAAGGATAGCTTTCAGAAGAACTCAGCAACTTTTGAGGCCAGGTGCCATGGCTTATGCCTGTAATCCTCTTGGAGGCCGAGGTGGGTAGATTGCCTGAGCTCAGGAGTTTGACACCAGCCTGAGCAAGAGGGAGACCCCATCTCTTTAAAAAAAAAAAAAAAAAAAAAAGACTGGCATCGTGGCGGCCACCCATAGTCTCAGCTACTTGGGAGCCTGAGGCAAGAAGCACTTGAGCCCTAGAGTTTGAGGTTGCTGTGAGCTAATAAGATGCCACAGCACTCTATCCAGGGTAAGAAAGTGAGACTCTTTCTCGAAAAAAAAAAAAAAAAATTTCAGCAATTTTTGATGAACAACCATAAATAAGTGACCAGTCTATCAATGTCGGATATTTAAATAAGTAGGCCCCATTTTAATAAAATGCTTTGTAAGAAGTTATATATGAACATAAAAAAGTCACCAAAACTATACAGCTATATAAAAATTCTAACACATAAAAATCAAATCAAGATAATCTTAAACTCTTTTACAGATAATAGAACAGAGAGAGCTCAGATAAGAAGGAGTAAGGTACAGAGTACATCTTAAAACCTTAAAGAGTTTTATGAAAATAAAATCTCTTCCATTTGCCTGGGTAATGGTAGTTAAAATCATGGAGTAATATGTTGTAGACATGGAACCTTGAACAGAGTTGGTTAAACAGAGGAAAGGGGCTTATAAATAGCACTGACGTTTTTAGTTCTATTCCATCCCAGTGGACTTGCCAGTTACCTTTGAAGCAAACACTAATCAAAGTGACTGAATCATTAGTCAAAATACATTACTGCACAGGCTATTTTGAGTAATTTCCCCCACTGAATGCTGCAGAATTACTTAAAATAATCACTGTAGTATGCTTCTCTAGGCTTAGCAATTTTAAGCTGGGCATGCTACCCAGGATAAGGACCAACATCAATGGATTTCCCACTGATAGATAATTGCTATGGTGTGGTAATTTATTGGAAATTTCTTCCCACCTTTATGCCTGAAGCTAGTGTAGAATTTCTTATACTACTTTAAATTTAAATTTACTTTAGGGCAAGACTGGGAAGTTGCTTACTATCCAACATGGACCTTAGGCTCTCCTTTTTTGTGTTAAAAATATGAGCATATTATTTTAGATACTATGGTTCATATGATATGGTGATTTATTTGTCTTACAAATGTCATTGTGAAAGTTAATTCCGAATGTTACCAACTTTTTTCATTAACATTAAGTTAAACATCTCATGCAATAGAAAATAGTATAGGGAGTAAAGCAGAGGCAGAGTTTTTAATATTTACTATATAACATAATGATAAAGCCCAGGTTTCTCTTCACCTTTTGGTTAAATGAATAAATAAAATCTCATCTAAAAATTAACACTCAAATATGAGAACTCTTAAATTTTGCTTCAATTCAAAAATAATTCAGAGTTTACTTACTGCGATTTTTCCAAGATCTATCCCATAATTGAGAGAACTCCATGAACACTGCTTGTAGTTGGGTGTCCAAGACTCCTCAAAGCTCTCCCGCAAGCATTCCCCCTTTTCTCCTTTGAATCCATCCCGACCTGGGATCCCAGGGGTACCTGGAATGCCATTGGCCCCAGGACTCCCATCTCGACCAGGCACCCCAGCTGGCCCTTGTAAGCACATTCCATTATACTACAGTAAGAAAGGAAAGGAGGGGGAAAAACTCTCAACACATAATATTCAAAGACTCAATATGATTAAATTGCATTTATTTTGAGCCCTTAGAGTCAAGAATCTGTTTGTACCACTTGTCCATGCTCTAGAATAGTTATAGAAAAATTATTTTAAAATTATTTCTAAAATATTGTGATTTATTTGCTATTTTTTATTGCACAAACTTTACACACACACACAAGAGAGGAGGGCCAAATATTTTCATTTGCCTCCTCCTTTCTACTGCTTATTATAAGCATAAGTAAGTTTCACTATCTGTATTCCACAGGAGACATATATTCTGCTTTTTCCTCCTAAATGCTTATAAAAGGACTTTATCCTTTATACTTATAAAGATTTATGCCAACATTGCACCAATTTGGGTGCTTAGTTTATTTCTATTTTTTTTTTTTTTTTGTAGTTTTTGGCTGGGGCTAGGTTTGAACCCGTCACCTCCGGCATATGGGGCTGGTGCCCTACTCCTTTGAGCCACAGTGCTGCCCAATTTCTATTTTTTATTACTAATATTATTATAATGAAAACATTTATTCTTATAGCCTTTTTCTTCTTTTTAACTTTTTCCCTAAGATAAATCCCAAGGAACATAATTATCAAATAAAATCTTAACAGTCAATAATTATCTTGCATGGGCAAAATGTCTCACTTAGATACACATATCTCTGCTTCTCCTTCCTGTTTTTAAGTGAGGGAAGTGGCCCTAAGGCACCACATTTGGCCTCTAATCCCAACACTCTTCCCCAAGAAAAAGGACTAAGTGACCTTAGTTCTGGGTGACCATCAGTCCTCAACAGGGGGCACTAATCTTATCAAATTTTCCATAAGGTCTAGTATTCTCTGTTTGAGAATGGCTTCTACAACCATTTTCTCTGGATTTTATTCTGGCTCTACCCCTTCTTAGCTCTGGGGCATAATGCAAGTTCCTCAACATTTTCGTGCTTGTTTCCTTACCTGTAAATTGGAGATAATAGCAAAGATTCTTATCTTGTAGGGTTTGTGTGAGATTTAAGTGAATAACATACAAAATGTGCTTAGACCAATGCATGGAACACAGTAAACACTGCGTATATGTCACCATTATTATTATTATGATTCCCCCAAGACCAGTGTGAGGACTCTGGGCAAGAGTGTCCACTCCCTTGAGTGGACCTTACAGGCTCTAGACCTGGGTAAAAGAGTACATGGGCTGTACAGGCCAGTGCCATCCAATCAGTGGTAAGGGTAATATTCTGAGCTCCATTTGTCCAATTCCTGTATCTACTCCTGAGTTGGTTCCATTTATTAGATCCTCCAATCCCTAATACAATACATTTAAATTTTTATTCTAATATTTCCCCTATTGTGTAAATTTCCCAGTACTATCACTCTACTTATTTTTATATATAAAGTATATATAAACATACTTTCCGGTGAGAACAAAAAACAAGGTTCCTTATATAGTAAAATAACATCAAAGCCAAGGCGACGCCTGTGGCTCAAAGGAGTAGGGCACTGGCCCCATATGCCAGAGGTGGCAGGTTCAAACCCAGCCCTGGCCAAAAACTGCAAAAAATAAAAAAATAAAAAAATAAAAAAAATAAAAAATCAAAGCTTATTTTTTAACTTTATTATCTGGGATTGGACATGATCAGATTATAAAACCCTAAAATAATACTCTAGGAAGAATCCTACGTACTTAGATTAATGTTTGCCGATCAATTTTCTTCTCACATCATCAGTTTGATCTTTGTTTTGATAAATGATGTTTTATAACTCTTGAATTCATAAGCTCAAGTAATCCACCTGCCTCGGCCTCCCCAAATGCTACCATTACAGGTGTGAGCCACCATGCTGGCCTTTTGTGACTCTTACATTGCCATTTCCCTGGATGGAAGGGGGTGGGAGGAAAGACACAACTATTGGCTCAGCCCCTGTATCACAGTGGTTATAGCCCCAGCCACATACACGAAGCCTGGCAGGTTCAAACCTGGCCCCAGCCAGCTAAACAACAATGACAACTGCAACAAAAAATAGGCAGGCGTTGTGGTGGACGTGGGTCGTCACAGCTACTTGGGAGCTGTGATGCCACAAGACTCTACCAAGGGCGACAAAGTGAGACTCTGTCTCAAAAAATAAAATAAAATAAAAAAGACACAACTATTTATTTACTGTCAGAGGAATAGTAAGAAAAAATTTAACGATTGCAAAAGTATTCAAAGACATGCTAAAATACAAAGTAATTTTCAAAAGTTTGGTGCGTTTGAGATTTATTTTCATTTTATTAACTTCATTCACTTTCACTAGCAGATGGATGCAGTTTGGACATACCTTTCAAGTGGGAATAAGACTTCCAGTATTATTTGGGTTTTTTTTTTCACTATTAGTCCCCTCAAGACAAGATGTTACACAAACTAAGTTTTGTTTTTCTACATCAGTGGTTCTTAACTGGGGACAATTTTGTCCCTCAGGGAGTACTTGGCAATGTCTGGAGAGTTTTTGGTTGTCACAACTTGGGAGGGAGGATTACTGCTGGCATTTAGGGGGTAAAGACTGGAGGTGCTGCTAAGCTGCACAGGACAGTCTCCCTCCAAAAAGAGCTATTTGGTCCAAAACACCATTAGTGACAAGTGTTAGGGTTAGGGTTAGGGTTAGGGTTAGGTTAGTGTCACTAATGTTGTCACTAATGGTGACAATTTTTATTCGGCTGTCTTCTTCCACTTTAAAAGGTTAACCAAATGCTTTGTACCTTCAATGTCTATGAAATGAACAAAAACCGTGAACAGTGGTGTAACTTTTCTTCAGCCGTTCCTCTCACTGGCCACCAGGGGGCAGAGCTTGGTGGACGCTTGAAAGGAACTCTTTGAAAGCTTCTATACAAAGAAGTTGCTTTATAGAAACTTTTGAAACCTTCTTAATGGCTGTGGACTTTCTCTGTCAGCAAAACCAAATCCAATATACAGGATGCACCTGAGTCTGGCTGCACACGAAGCTTTTCCAAGTCTGGCCAGAGTCAACCACAGGTACTGTAAATCCTTAGGGAAAACTGCCAGCTTTATGGGAAAAGGGGTATTTTGTGTATCTTAACTACGAAGTCATAAAAAACGCAAACTACATATGAACGACACTCATTTGATACAATTTTAACAATTTAGACGCTTAGACTGGAACTGTAGCCCTTAACACATAATCTGCTCTAGTGGAGGAAAATTACACAGCGTATCACCAAAAAATGCTCTCTGAAATGGGAGGAATTTTTTTTCCTCAGCGCTTTTGAATCCAGAAGAAAACAAGCTGCCAGGGAGCTTGGTTTATTAGCTAAGCTGGGAATGGCAGCTTAACAAATTTAAAATTTAACAAAAAGCCCTGTTTTCTGTTCTGCAATGCATATAAACTATATTTGTTAGTAAATGAGACTGGGTTATGGATTGCAATTTATGACGTGCAAAGAACAATGGTAGCTGTAAAGGCTCTCCCGCCATAGGGCAGAGAACTCTGTCCCCCATTGGGGTTATTGGCTTTTAGAGGGGAAGAGTTTGCCTACAGATAAGCCCCTCAGGGAGCACTTGGGCTATTTATTTACTCTCCTGGAAACTGTCTTCTTCCTTAGCTTGACTGTGACACTCCTACCTGGTGGTCACAGGCTGAAGACCCAGGCTATAAGGACTGACTGTCCATTTGGTTTAAACGGAACAAATGAAATGGGTCCTTGGAGGGTTAGTGCTGGGCCCCTTCATTTCCCTTTCCGGCCTTAAACCCTCTGAACCATTCCTGGCCCCAGCTGTGGTTGTCTAACAGAGTAAATTGCAGCTCATACTCCCTAGGAAGATGACCCAACGTGACTCATAGTCTTCAAGTGACAAAGAGTTGGACGGATGCTTTGTGGGGGTTGTTATTCTCTCTTGCAGGCAGACGTGGCCACCAGCCTCAACAAAGGACACGTTGCATGGCCCTGGCCCATGCCCAGGGAATTAGGAAGTCCAAGGTCTTTCCCAGGCCCGTGTTCTGACCCACCCAAGCGCCTCACTGCCTCCCTGATTCCTCCACCCTTCTCAAGGAGTCCCCCTGAAGCCAGAAGTTACTGGGTGACTCCCTGTACTTCAGGAGTCCCACTGACCCACGCCGCATCTCCGCCCACGTTGGCCCTCTAATTTCTGGTCTACCCTCTGCGTTCCAAGATTCCACCGCACGCACAACCCAGGTCCTTTTTTTACACGTAGACACAGACAAAACTTGACATCCGGGCGCAACAAGACACAGGACGCACAGCTGTATATACACCTCCCAACGTCAGTACTGACATCCACCCCGTGCGGCTCGCGGCTCTGTCCCCTCCGCCAGTTCATCGGACCGGCTCAGCGCCCCCCACCCGGCTCAGCGTCCCGGGACTCACCAGGTCCACCACTTCCCTCGGCCGGAGCAGGGCCTTTTGCTTCCCCTTAGGGGTCTCGGAGGCGCCCGACGGCGCGGGCAGCTGCAGCAGCAGAAGCAGCAGGAGGCCGAGGAGCCGCTGCGGGGAGGTGGCGGGACCCCAGGGAAGCATGGCGCGCAGCGGCTGGGGACCAGGAGCAGGAGGCGGAGGCAGAAGAGGAGGCCTGGAGCAGGGACGTGGTCAGCGTCTGGCCCCACCGCGCTCCGAGGCCGCCGCCGCGGGCTGCATCAATGCGCCTTTCAGCCGCGCGCCTCTCTCCCTCCTTTCCCTCCCGCCCCTGGACGCCCCGAGCCTCTATCCCGTAATAAGCCGAAGCCCCAGCCCCGAGCCCAACCGGGGCGGGCCGACAGCCGGGCCCGCCCCTCCTGCGGCCGCCACGCAGCCCGCCGGGACCCTCGAGGGGCTGGCAGACAGGCGGAGAGCCCGCCGGCAGAGTCGGGGCGGAGCGACAGTGGTCTGGAGCCGCAGGTGGAGGCTTCGAGAGAGAAGTGGAGAGAAAACTGCCTACATGAACATTTGAGAGACACATATCTTATGTTGGTCCAGGAACCGCCTTCAAGGGTCGTCAATCCATGTTCTGGGTCGGCAAGCCTTTGGGGAGAAGGTGACATTGTGGGGATAGGAGAGAGAACCATAGCTTTCATCAGGTTCTTCAAGAGTCCCATCACCCAAATGATTAATAAATGCTGTATTAATAAGTGCTAACACTTAACTAACCTCTGGGACCACGCAAAGCCTTGCACACCTACTCAGTCTGCTCAGTATTGATCCTAATCCAGTGGAGTTAGGTACCTCCTGTGCTGGCCCCATTGGCAGATGAGGAAACTGAGGCTCAGCGAAGCTAATCAACGTGCAGTGGTATTGGTAGAAGTTCAGTTGTGAGTACTCTTCACCTCTGATAATACTTTTTTCTAACACCCTCTGTCCTCCTTCTGTCTGTTCTGTCTATTCTGGAAGAAAGCATCCTTAGAGACCAGGCCACTCACCGCGTAGGGCCAGATTAGAGCAGGCACCGCTTTATACAAGGCTGGTTGAAACTAGTCAGAACAGAAGTCTTGCACACTCACAATAACACAAGTCTGTGACGGATGGCAATGCTGCTGAAGTCAAGCCAAGTCATCAAGGTTCTCTTTAGAGACCCAATCAGGTGCCCCAGAGTGAGTCCAGTTGATACTTATTAATGAGAAATAGCACTCTGGGAGGGAACGGGTCAGGGCAGTTCTAGGAATGCTCATTCCTGAGCTAGTGCCTAACTACTAGTAAATTTCATTCCTGTTTTTCAGAAGAAGCAAAAATCCAAATGATCTCTAATGCCAGGATTGGCTACATAATTTGCTGTATCCAGTGCAAAATAAGAGTGCAGGGATTTTGCTAAAAAATTAAGAATTGCAAAATGGTGTCAACAGGCAATAAACAACGTGTGGTGCCTAAGTGGCTGGTCCTGTGTGACTGCACAGCTCACATGCTAGTGAAATTGCCCCTATGTAAACTGATCCAAGTCCCAGCTGATGCCTGGTTGCACCCAAATGAATGACTATGGTGATAGTCTATTGGGTGGAAGGGAGATCAGGGAACCCCCAGAAAGTCTGTTTTCTATCCAGTTTAAATTCCAGTTCCAATTCCTGCTGCTGTTGCTATCACCTAGTGACTTCAGATGGTATTCTCTCTGCAAATCTGGCATCTAGACTGAGGTTTCAGCAAAGAGCTAACCCTGCCTTAACATCCAGGCATTTTAAAAGAATGCATTCACGGAATTAATCACATCACACTGTAAGAGAAGTAAGCCAGATATCATCATCTGTATTTAAAGATAATAAATAGGGTGGTTCCTGTAGTTCAGTGGGTAGGGTCCCGGCCACATACACCAAGGCTGGCAGGTTGGAACCCGGACTGGGCCTGCTAAAACAACAATGACAACTGCAACAACAAACAAAATAGCCAGACTGGGGCAGGCACCTGTAGTCCTATCTACTTGGGAGGCTGAGGCAAGAGAATTGCTTTAGCCCAAGAGTCTAAAGTTGAGTTGTAACACCAGGGCGCTCTACCCAGGGTGACAGCTTGAGACTTTGTCTCCAAAAAAAAAAAAAAAAAAAATTAAAGAAAAATGAATGAATGAATAAATAAATGAAATTCCACTTCATTTCTGGAATTTACTATCTTATAGGTCTAGTTGAGTTTTTTTGGTCTAAAACTTAGGTCCATTCTACCATTACAGATTTTAGTTCCACTTAAATATTATAAATTAGTTTAGGGTACTGAGGGTTATTTCTGGAGTAATCCTTCCTGAGTCACAGATTAATAAACTGGGCCTTTTGGAGATTCTAATTTTGAAGCTTAATGTTAGGTAGAAGTCTTGTAACAATTATGGTTATAGGTTTTAGTTAATTAAACATTAACATTTGATGTTATTGAAACATTTAAGAAAATTTAACACATTAGAGTTTTGATATTGATTTGAAATTAATAACAAAATTTAATCAAGTTTGTAAAGGTTTTAAATGTTTAATAAAATAGTTACTACATTTATAAGTTTTATTTATTAGATTTACAAGACGTGTTTGAGTGCTTTGAAAGACTATTCTTTTTTTTTTTTTTTTTTTGAGACAGAGCCTCAAGCTATCCCCCTAGGTAGAGTGCCCTGGCATTACAGCTCACAGCAACCTCCAACTCCTGGGCTCAAGCGAGTCTCATGCCTCAGCCTCCCAAGTAGCTGGGACCACAGGCGCCCGCCACAACGCCCGGCTATTTTTTGGTTGCAGCCGTCATTGTTGTTTGGCGGGTCCGGGCTGGGGATTCGAACCCGCCACCTTAGGTGTACGTGGCTGGCGCCTTAGCCGGTTGAGCTATAGGCGCCGAGCCTGAAAGATTATTCTTACTACATTTTTCAGTTTGCCCTGATAGGCACTTGGCATTCAAAAAAAAAATCAAATATATTAAATTTTTAATGTAGTTTATAGTATATAAAATAATTTAACTCAAATTTTTAATAGAAAATTTTAGGTAAATTAAATCTATTACATTTATGTGTCAATTGAACCTGAGTCTTGTATGTTAGGCTTAAAAATTAAGAAAAATTTGATTTTTAAACTGAAATACTTAAATAGTTAATAATTAAAATAGAAGTAGCTTCAAACAGTATTTTCCATGCACATATAGCACCTATTCCCAAGCAAGAAACTCTATTGAAAGAAATTAGGAAGGGAAATGAATGTGTTAATATTGTTGTAGCTTATCCCACTTAGTTCATGTGATGCAAGTTCTAATATACCACCATTGATCTCTTTGGCAGAGTAGAATCATAGGCATCTCAAGTTGGCAAAAATTTTAGAAATCATCTAATTGAATCCATGTATTTTATGATTGAGGCACATAATTAAAGGCAACTCAGAGAGCTCAAGGAACTTTCCAAAAGCCATGTGGCAAGTAGGTGTCAAAGCAGAGTTGTACTGAGGTTGGAGAATTCCCAGTTCATGTACAGTATTTAATGATACTCCTTTTGAGTAGTCTAGCCTTCTATAGCCTTGCTTCTGGAAATTGAGGAAAGAACTGTCTATACCTCAGCCAGAGGTTTAACAGCAGAAAAATGTCACTGAAGTCAGATTTCATAAGGATAGAAAGGGATCAAAGTGAGAGGAACTCAAGGGAATGGTAAAACCAGAGCTCAACCAGCAAGTGAGCTGCACTTTGAAGGATGGCTGGTTGTGAATAACCAAGGACGCTAGCTATTCCCTCAGTAAGTCCAGGTAGTTTTGATCCATATGCCCTGGGTTTGCTCTCTAGAAACACCCATAGAAGTCCATTCACTTGTGCCCTTGCCAAAGGATTGTTGTAAAATCTGGAATTGGTAGACCCAAGTTTGAATCTTAAATCCATTGCTATTGCTGGATTTATTCACACATCCCTTGAACAAATACTTATTGGGATCCTACTATGTGCTCAGCTCTGTTCAAGAGTACAGGAATTTATCAATGAATCCTAGCTCTCATAGACAAACACATTAGTTTGTCAAGATAGACAGAAAATAATAAACATAATAAATAAATTAGAAAGTATATTAGGTGACAAATTCTGTGGAAAACAATAGAAGATGGTAAGAGGAGCTAAGGGTCAATAGCAGTATAGAGGAAGCCAGTTGTGATTTTGCATAGGGTGGTAAGGCTAGGTCTCTTGAGTAGGTTGCATTTGAGCCAAAGGTTAGAGAAGGTGAGGAAGTAAGCTATGCAAATATCTATGAGAAGACTATTCCAGACAGGGACAAGAGGATACCCAGGTCTTTCCATTACTCTGCTCTGCCATCATCAGTGGATCAGTTTTACTCTCTGGCTTTCCCCCAACCCCCTCCCCACAGTTAGATGACCTCAGACAACACAGAGATGTCTGAGTATCTGCCCTCAGCACAGAAATGCTGAGGAAAGAGATTAACCAGTCTCCTCTCTCAGTCATTTTTAGGGGCAAGCATCCTTCTCCAAAGTTACCTTACAACTTCAGCAATGTCTTCTGCCAGGATTGGATCATATTCTACCAATCATTACCCAGGGGAATAAGTTTATCTAAACCAATCATTTGAAGTGTAGTGGTGTTGGAAATTTCACTCTCATAGATTGTTTTTGACTTAAAAATAATGCTGCTTTGAATATTATTCTACAAAATTACTTTGCACACATATTATTTCCTTTTCCATATCAATAAATTACTAGAGATGGAATGACTATTTCCAAGTCTTCCAATGTGTCTGTTCAAATTCTTTACTTTTTTTTCCTACTGGGTTATTAATGCATCTCTTATTTGCAATAATTTTTTTTAAAGTTTGACATCTTTAAAACATTTAATCTTTCTTCCTAGATACATATATGTCTCCTCCTTTTTCTAAATCCTCTTTAATAAGCTGGGTATGGTGGCTCATGTCTGTTATCTAACCAACTTTGGGGGGCTAAATTGAGTGGACTGCTTGAAGTCAGGAGTTCAAGACCAGCTGAAGCAAGAGTGAGACCCCCATCTCTACTACAAATAGAAAAACTAGCCAAGCATTGTGGTAGGCACATATAGTCCCATCTTACAGAGGATCACGTGAGCCCAAGAGTTTTAAGTTGCTGTGAGCTATGATGCCACACCACTCTACCTAAAGAGTGAGAAAGTGAGGCTCTGTCTCAAAAAAATAAAAAATCCTCTTTTATGCATCAATAAAATTTTATAATCTTTAAAAAGAAATATTATATCCTGTGATGAGCTATGGCTAGAAGTTTTGGATTTTCATCACTTTCCT